GGGGGGGGGGGGAGGGGGGGGGGGGAGCAGCTGTAGAGGTGATCCCAGAGCAGCAGGATGAAATTTTGGTACATCATCCGTAGGCTTCCCTGATAAATAAAAAAAAAAAAGAACCTGGAAAACAATTATCAGAAAGTATGAGATTCTCTTACTGCAGGCTGATGTCAGAGGTGGAGGTGGAGGAGCAGAGGGCGGCTGAGAGGGCAACAGCCTCTTCATAGCTGAGCAGAACTTATTACCAACGCCTCCGCAGGCATCATGTTCCTCTCTCACGCTGAGAGGAGGGTCTGGGAACACATTTTTAGCACATTAGTTTTTGACACTGATGTCGTTTCACTTTTACTCACGCTGAGACAGTGACACAGTAAGAGTAGCGATGCAACAATGGTGTGTGTAATCACCCTATTACAAAGTTGTTCATTAAAAATCTCAGATGTAAACATAAGTGTTAACAGATGACTCCAAGGAATGAAACTCATTCATTAAGCTTTTAACTTAATGAACTAAAATTCGTCATCAGGAGCAGTTTGGTGTCAGGAACCACAGCTACAGTAATCAAGTATTACATCAGTTTCCACATTTAGAAGTGCACAGCTGGTCAAACACTTGAGACTGGAACAAATGCTGTCGTCTTTTTTTGGAGTAACCATATTGTTGTGTGGATTGAATAGCCAACATCAGCTAGATGTTCAGTACCTTTCAAAAAATTAAATACTAAACACTGTATGCAGTGGAATTGATCCTTTCAGTGAACCACGCAGATTGTTTTGACTAAGCTTAATTCTGTTTAAGTTTAATTTGTAACCATTCATCATATTTTATAAACTAATTTTTTTATCTTAAAGTAACTAAAGCTGTCAAATAAACAGTGGAGGGAAAAACGACAAAATTTCCCACTGGTATAAAGTATAATTATAAAGTGGCATAAAATAAAAATATTCAAGTACAACCATCTCAGATTTTTACTTGGGTATTTGGGTAATATACTAAACGATCTTCCACTAAGCACAATGTTGCACTCACATACACACCTTGTGTATCTGCAGGAGGTGACGGGCCTGATGGCAGGTTGGCAGCCTACAAAATAAACGGTAAACAGACTGCACTTATATAGTATTTTTCTACCTTACTTGGACAAAGCACTTTACATATTCACCCATCTACATGCACACACTGGTGGCAGCAGAGATGCCATGCAGGGCACTGGCCTGGCCACCGGAACTTGGGATTCAGTGTCCTGCTCAAGGACACTTCAACATGTGGAGAACAGGAATCGAACCACCGACCCTGGCTACCAGGCTGGTAGCTAAGCCTCAGAATGATTAAATGAGCTAGGTGTGTTTATATTCTTTATAAATTCAACTTTTTCATATGTAAGACGAAGTGAGTACATTTTTCAAATGTTATGCAGTGTTGCTTTAAACATACAACAGCTCTTTTTATGGCTTCTGCCTGGCACAAGCTAAAACAGGCATGTATAATCTTACCTGTATCAAGCAGCTGTCCCTGGCAGACCTCCACTGCTCTGGTGTAATGTAGTTGTCTACACCATGACTGCACTGGTTGAAAAGAGAACACAGGTTATTGCAGAGGCAGACTGAATTGTTTCTCACTAAAATGTTCAACATTGCTACAGACTGAAAGAAAAACAGCAACTTTTCCAGTGGTGGAAGAAGTAACAGTAGCAGTACTGCAGTGTAGAAATACTCCGTTACAAATCCTGCATCCTAAATGTTACTTTACAAAAATATCAAAATTTAAAGTACCAAAAGTAAAAGTACTCGTGCAGAATGGCACATTTCACATTCTTGTACATCATATTATTGGATTATAATGGTTGATGCATTACCATTTACATCACTTTTAATGTGGCAGCTGGTAAAGGGGGGGGGGGCAATGTTTGATTTGATTTATTCTTTCAAGCATGTAAAGACAGTTGATATGTCAACACACATAATTTTACACATATCCAACAAATGCTAATCCAATATCAATTTGCTTATACCTAGTACATGCTTGAATGGAGTAGGAAGAAGTCAGACTTATCCAGTCCTACCCCATGACATCATCTTACCATCATTGGTTTGCAAGCAGTATCTCTACATAGATAATTCTCTTCTACACCACACAAGTAATATACTAAA